GAAATAACTTTATAATATAAAATATTTATATAATCAAAATATCTTTGTATTTTGAAATCTATGTTATGGAAATCATTTGTATCAGTTATTCTCAATCAAATCATAAAATGTGCTTGTTTACTGTTCCAAGAATATCGTCAAAAATTGTTGTCGTTCGTCACATTCTTAATGGTGTGATATGCTTTGATGATTCCTTTGATGTACTAAAGAATACCGCTAATGATTTATATTCTATGACTTCATGTCTACCATTAATTTCACCTCTTAAATAACCAGGCGATTCTTGTTCGCATCAGTTTCTTGTATCAAATGACCTTATGACCTTTTTTTTGTACCGTTAATTCCGTCTACAAATGACCAATTATCTATTTACTACCTCGAGCACCGCCAATTCGAAAGAAGCTTATTTCAGTGTAACTGCACCGGAACGAAGTGGTCTCATCAACTATATCCTCCTGAACTGCGGCCCAACCAAATCCTACCAATTCCTTATTCAAACTTCCAAATGATTATTTCAATCGTCAACAATCAAGCAAGGAACATTTTGGTTATTTTAAAAACATTTCAAAATGATAAGTTTATTGGTCACAGAACCATTTAACGAGATCCATGCACAGTCCGCAAAGAGTGAAACAAATAGTTCCCAACACTGCCTAGAAACATGAAATCATTTGCGCCGTAGGTCAGTTGAGGTTTCTATAAATAGGAAAGTACAATTTGATAACTACTTATGTTTAAAGTTCAATATAAAAATTGTAATTCAAGAACAGAAAAAGTAGCATCAGTGTTTAATGATCTCATAACTTAAGCGTACAAGATAATATATAATCGTTGATAAATTTTATAGCGGTTTATATAAGAATTTTTTTAAGGGGGTTTACTTTCAAACGACACAGAAATTTGAAAAATTGTATATTGAACTAAGAAGGAAACTCAAAATATATTAGTAATAAGCTAGTACTAAATTAGTAAACTAAATTAACACCAAATATGTACTCATATAAATCCAGTGAATTGCATTCTACCTAAAACGGCACTCGAATTTACGTAAAAAAATGATCAAGGCATATATTACAGCGGGAAAACGATAGTGTGAAAGGTTGCTAAATTTTCTGTTGTAAAATTTAATTTCTTTTCATGCAGAACTCGAATGCATTTGATCTAAAGATCTTAAAAGAATTCAAGGATACGAATTAATTTAACTAATGAATGAATATCGAAAGATATGCTTCTAAAAACACGACAAAAAAAGAAATTTCTGCCAACATAATTCCGTGTATAAATACTTTTGAAAGTTTCTAAAATTTTAGAAAATTGATTTCTTTACATTTCATTAAAAAAAAGTAATAAAATCCATGAATAATGAACAGAAATCAATTAATTGATGCAACAGGTGGAAATATAGCAGAGCGGGATCCATATGAATACTGAAGTGATTGAATGCGTGTCATGCATACACAGTGTCCTTCTTGTTCCTCTTCTGAAGATGGTGGACTCCATGAATATATCCCATAGGCTAAATTTTCAAAGTGAATTTTTGACATTTTAGTTAGATTAAAAGTCGCATACCAACGAGTTCATTTATTGCCACAATTTTGCTAATGTCTTTTCTATATAACCTACCGCGAACGTCTATTTTATCCATTTCAAAAGTCATTTCATCCGTAAGATTTCTGCACTAAAGTAATTGAAATCACATATGAATATTAACCTGTACAATACTGCTGACACTCTTCAGGCCTCCTAAAAAATACTACCGCTGTCGCACCACCTTCTATTTTCACATTTTTCAAAAATGAACCCTGTCCTGAAACAATCTTTAATCATTTAATAATAATAAACTGTATTGAGTTTTTCATCTGAAATTTTATTTAGATCAGTTTTTTATGAATTTTGCGAAATCTACTGCTTATGACAAATTTGTTTAGTTCATAGTAAGACTTGGATTATTGGAGGAGTGATACTGATGGATTGTTATATTTATATTTCTCTGTCCTTCCTTACTTTAATAAAATTAAACCTTAACACTCAACATTGAAATGCAGCTGAATCACATTACACATTATCCACATCGTCTTGTTTCACGCTTTTCTCAAATGAAAATGAAAAATATATACCTGAGTGGGTATTCGCTTTTAAACCACTAATTGCTTCATAATTGATTCCGGAGTCAGACATTGATGATTTCAAATAACATCGCTTCCTTGTTTTACTGTATGTATAGCCAAGACAGCAGTGATCCCGAGCACATGCTATACAACACCTCTAAAATCATTTCTATTGTGCTACATTAAAAAAATACTTTGTATATTAATAAAAGTTTGGTTTCTTTAAAAAAAAAAACCAAACTTTTATTGGTGAAAAAATGACAATTTCAAGTTTCAAGCATCCAATACTGTATTATATTAAAGATTTTCAAGTCTTATTCCTCCTCATCGATAATCGTACAAAGCATATTCGAAATGATTTAAACAAAGAATACAGCATCAAAGAGATACACCGACATCTTTCCTCTATATATTCAAAAGACTGTTTACCTCATAATCAACAGTTAATGAACAAGTTTCTAGATCTTAGATAATCAGTGAAGATCATAAACAAATTGAATGGAAGCATTGGATAATTTTTCTGATATTTAATGGAAAAAACGTATTACCTTAATATCGTTTGCATTGAATTCATCATAAGTACCGCCGTTCAGTGCAATATTTGGAAGGTAAAAACATCGCGATGCTGAAAGATTGCTAAATAAAGTAAAAAGTTTGTTTTGTCTTTATTTCATTTTTATTTATCATTGACATATAAAAAAAGGAATCTGAACTGAATATGAGATATCATTTCATAAACATTCTAAATTATAATATTTTTTAAAATTAGGTTCTATGAACTATAGAAG